CGGCCGTCCTCGACCCGACCGACCCCGGCGCGCGTGGCTGGTGGGTGCGGAGGCTGCGGGAGCTCGGCGACGGGTTAGGCGTCGCGGGGTTTGCAGTCGCCGGCGGGGAGGTGTCCGCGCTGCCGCACGCGCACCGGCTCGCCGACCCCTCGACCTCCGACGTCGGCTATGTCGGTGCCTTTGTGCGGATGCTGCAGCAGCTGTCTGCGCCGAGGAACGAGAGCGAGGGAGGAGAGAGCGAGGGAGAAGAGAGCAAAGTATTGACGAGTACGACAGAAGAAAGTGAAGGAGGACAGAGCGAGGAAGAAGACAGCGAAAGAGTAGCCAGTCAGAAACAAGAGAGCGCGGCGGTGGCGGACACGTGCGGGCGCGTCGCGATCGTCTGCGTCGACGTCGGCTCGCGGACCCAGTTCCTCGCCGCGCCCATGGCCGGCGTCTCTCTCCCCCCGTCGTGGTCCCTCGGTCTCGCCGCCATCATCCCCACCGCGCTCACCGTCGGACTGCTCGGCTACCCGCTCGCGATGGCGCCACCGCTGCGCGCCGAGTCGTCGCAGCGACCGCCTGACGCCGAGCTCTACCTGCGTTGGCTGCAGGCGGCCGCGTGCCTGCCCGCACTGCAGCTCGCGCTGCCGCCGTGGACGTACAGCGAGGCGGTGGAGGAGGCCGCGTACAAGGCACTGCGCTTCCGCGAGGAGGTGGTGCTGCCGCGCGTGCTCGCCTCGCTAGAGGGCGCCGCGCGCGACCTTCGCGCTGTCGCGCGGCCGCTGTGGTGGGACGCGCCGCGCGACGAAGCGGCTCAGGTCGTCGACTCGGAGTTCTTGGTCGGAGACGACCTGCTGGTGGCGCCCGTGGTCACGAGCGGAGCGCCGGCGATCAGAGACATCTACCTGCCCGCCGGGAGGTGGCGGGACGGGCTGGCAGGGGGCAGCACGATATCGGGACCAACGTGGCTGCGGCGTTACTCCGTTCCTCTGGAGAGCATTCCGCATTTCACTAGAGTAAGGTAGAGAGGCAGGCAGAGAGGCGTAGGGTGAGCGGGTCAGGCTTGTTTGCTCTCACGTGAGGCATGAGGATAGAACAGGTAGGAGACGTGTTGTGTGAATGCAAATGCTGAAGGTCCAAGAAGCGCATTAGAGTTGGGATGCAACATGTACTGTGTTTGGTCACATACGAAGGTGCTTCGTTTTTTTGTGTGTTGTTGTATTTTGAATGTGAATTTTTTTTACTATGGGCCCACGTTTTTGTAGTGCAATGCAATTGCGATGCAACCAATGCGTTTTTCGTGTACAATCTAGAACTGAGAGTATGTGGTTGTGAAACGTAAGAATTTAGAGCGTAAGAAAAAGTACTCGCACAGTTTTCTGTGTTTCATCAAATGTGTTGCGTATTATACAATATTATTATTAAGTTTATATACTTGCACAGATAATAGTATACAAACTATATAATATATATATATATAGTACTATCTGTCACAGATAGGAAGATAAAGATCAGGCCGGCTAGTCAATTTTATGCAAACAGTAGTAGGGCTCATAGGGTCTATGTCCCCCAGGTTACTGCCGGAACGTACCCTGGGTACGGTCCGGTATACCGGAACGTACCCTGGTAACTATCTAGCTGATATGGTTAGGGTTAGAGTTAGGGTTAGGGAGTAGGCGTAGGCGACTCCCTAGACTCGTTAGTGGAGTAGACGAGGTACGGTCCGGCATATTAGATAATAGTATTTAGTACCAGGGTACGTTCAGGTATACCGGACCGTACCCAGGGTACGTTCCGGCAGTACCCTGGGTGACATAGACCCTATCAGCAGTAGTAGGTACTGTATGCTACGTCATTATTTTTGTTAGTTTTTTTAACACGACTATATTTGTATGTAGTTTGGTATAGTATTGATGCTGCTGCGTGCGAATGCAATCATGAGATAAAGCAGAGCAGGTGATCATAACATCACATTAGAGTCACAAAAGTTAGTATAGATAATACGTGTAATTCTATTACTTTTATTCAGGAATCCGACTTGTTGAATTTCTGTAATTCTCTAAAATTAACTTAGTATTCTGATATTATTTATCTCCTACTTTCCAAAGAAATTCAATTATTTTTTCAGTATTAAGAATGTCTACAAGAGTCCATAATACTAATAGAACATTTCTATTATGGACTCGATGTATATCAAAACACCATTCTTGTCAGTATTTTTAGATTTTTACACTTGTGTTTTTTATAACGTTTATAATATGTTTACTGTGTTGTGAGCAGGCCGCACGCTTACTGTTCATTTTAAGTTGTATTCAACTTAATAAAACAATCACAAAATAAACTTAAAACCTCCGTTGAAGCTTTTCTCGTTGAAACTATCTGTAGTAGTTCCTATCTAATACGACCAACAGGTGGCGCTAAAAAGCGATCTGGAATTCAGCGCGAATCGTCTGCTTAGCTAACTCTACATAGCTAGACATATATATATATATGATTGTTATGACAACAGTGCACAATCAGCCGTATTATTGCAAATACTGCGGTAGTTTCCTAATAAGCCGTCCTCCATTCTCCTGAATGATTTTCCGACTTGCTTAATCATTTATTCATTTCTAGCGCGTCTTCTACCTACTCTTATAGGCCCTACGGTGTCACATATTTAACGGTTCGAACAATATTCAATATCATGATTATCTTAATTATAACATTCAATAGTCAATACTAATAGTTTAATATTCATATCTAAATAACTAAAAATTCGCAATTATTAAATAAATAGATTTATTCTTTATCTAAAAGCAGTCACGCATTCGTTGCATGTGATTTCTTTTCTTTAATGTACTTTTTGACGCGTTCTGCGCTACCCTTCGATCTCTGCGTTTTCGTTTTCTTCGTCTCCTTCTTCTTTATCTGCGTCACCTCATAAATTAACCACCATTCTTATTCGCTCGACTGAAACAACGACTCGGCAATTACCAGTTCATTCTCTCCTCTTCACACTGGCCCTCTCTACCCCTCCCTCCTCCTCATCTTCACTGCACCTGTCCTTCTCTCTATTTCATTCCGTATATCGACTGCGCACCTATCGCGCCGGATTTCGCACCTGAGTTTTGTGCGATCGTGGTAGTTTGCTGGGCGGTGCAGTGACCAGTAATAACATGCCTGCACTGCTTATGCCCTCTTATCCGGCCGCGCCATTGTACGAGGTGCAAAATGAATGGCTGCAAATGTGTTTCGATCACAGGTCGATGTTAGTAGAGTTTACACTCGGCGGGGCTAAACGCTGTAATCATCACACGATTCATCATCGTTAGCCGGGTACCCGGGCTCCGTCACCAGAGGCGCACGCGGCGGTGTCCATCTAAACCACTTGACGTAGCCTTCGTCCGCGTTCGCGCGTCGTACCCTATCCATCGGCACGTCCGCGTGCGGTGTGGGATGACGGCGGGCCGAGGCGCGCCGCCGCCAGAGTAGGTTGCCGCCGGGCGGGCGTTCGGAGCGGCGGTGAGTAAAACGTGTGCAATTATCGACGATGTTAGACTCGAATGTAATTCGGCGGTTTCTGCGAGGCGGGGTTTTTGCCGCTGGCTTGCCACGCCGGCCGTCAGCGCTACTGCCGCTACGGTGCTAAGACGCGAGGACCCTCCCCCCACCCACTCACCCTCCCACCCACCGCCGCACATCATACGGGCAAGCGTGCGCCGCGAATAATAATAATCATCATTTTTTCGCACGTTATACTTGTCATTATAACCCATGAATTATCAAATCAAATTAACAACGTCATATATACGATGTCGCAATGTAAGCATTGACAAATAATGATTTATTAATCAATTATTGACGGCGGATGAATTTCTCGTAGCTCGTCGTCCTAATATACGATGCTATATTTATTTACTATATGTGTAACGTGGGCGGACGTGGCTAGATGATTCCGCGGTTGCTACACTAATTAGGTTTTGCAATTAACCCGGAACTCGGTAATTATCATATAAGATTTACAACGACATCGCGATGATGGCGTCTTGAATATATTATCACCGATGTATTTTCTTTACCACTAAGGTGTGTTTAATATCGGCTGGCGTCCGTGCTAAGCCTAAAGTTCCATCTCGAGCAGTAATCTCACGTAGTTTGCATTCCTATCTCGTGCGGATTCGAGTAAATATCATTTATAATAGCCCTTCGGCTACAGGTGAGGAATTAGGGGCGGCATGACTGACAATTATTTATGTTTATCGCGTCTACACGCGGCGATAAATTGTAATATTAGAGAGAAAAAGAACCTCGGCTGCATTAATATGCAGAACTACTTCAATCATCGCTCGCTAATCATCTCATGGAAGAGCGTCTCATAACTACATTAGTACGACGAGAGAAGAACGCTACATGGAACCTCTCTCTCGCTCTCTCTCTCTCTCTCTCTCTCTGTCGTGCACGCAGGCACGTCAACAGTAAGAGTTTCACACCCTCGCTGGGCAACCAGTGCGTTTGAGAGATGTGCGTGCACGCGGGTGCGCGTGTACGCGTGGGAGTTCTTTGAGACGTCGCTTATAATTGTTCCCGATTAAATTCCCCGATTAGTAAATTCGATCGCGGTTCGCACACGCGTTCAAGCTGATATTGACGCCAAGTGACGCGGGTGGGGGGCTTGTTCGTAATGATCAAAGGCTTGCTTGCCGCCCCCCCCCACCACGCCCGATGGATACTATCCCTTCATTTCCGCCTAATAAAATCACCGAGATAAAAAAAACAGTGCGAAAATATTCGCCCCGTCTGTACGCCGAGTCTTGCGGTTTAAGTATGGGAGGAGGGTCTGTGAGGCAGCAGTGGAGGGGCGGGGGAAGGTTTATACGTCGTTATAGATTACCCGCAGAACTGTAGGCGTCTTTGATTTCGGGGGAGAAATGCGGGTTGGCATGCACGCAGCGTGCGCGCGGCGTTGTTCTATCAGCCAGCGAGGTGATCTGTATCAACGTTGCTCTCGCTCGCGTAGCAAGGTGTAAAAGACACAC